ATTTTTATATTAATCTAATATTTATAATTTTTGATTAAAAAAACTTTATTTATTAATATGTATTTAATGATGTGAAATTTTATAAAAGTAACAAACAATTAAACTACTAATCATTGATTTTTTAAAATACTAATTAAAAGATAAGATTATTAATCACACTTTACCCTATATATATTTATATGTCAGCTATCCCTCTCTCTATATGTAGATTTTGTTGCTACCAGACTCAAATCTACCTCTCATTAAAATAGTTGTCAAAATGTGAAGTTAACTCGTAAAGAATTTACAAAATTTAAAATCGCATAAAGAGTTAGTTTCCATAAACTCATAGTAAAACTGGGATGGAATAGTAAATGGCATAAAATAAAGTCAGAAAAATCCTGAATTTACAAAATTCAGTGGTTTGGGCTATTTTTTTCTATTTAACTAGGTCTGGGCATTTCTCGGCCATCAAGGTTTGGATCGTATTTATATACACACTTAACCACTTGTACACAAAGTTTTTACATTTGTTTGCTGATAAAAATTGCCAAAAAACTTGCCAATAAAATTTTTTTTAAATATGATAATTTTTTTTATTAATATCTAAACTTTTTTTTTTTTATATGTGTAAAGACTTAAAATCTAACCGAAGACTTACCACTAATAGTATGTTTAGTTTTAAAAAAATGAAAATAAGAGGAAAGGGAAGGGAAGGAAAAAAAATTTCTCTATTTGATTATCATAAAAATTAAGGGTGAGGGAGGGAAATGAAGCCCTCTGTTGTATTTTTTCTTTTAATTGTTTTATTTGATTATCATAAAAATCAAGGCTCTTCATATTTTTGTCCAATGTAAGATGATGAATGTGCCTCATGTGTTAATTGACAATGGGTCGGCTTTGAATGTGATCCCTTTGATTGTTTTGAGGCAATTGAAAGTTGATGAATCTCACATTAGTCAATGTAATACAATGGTTCGTGCTTTTGATAGAACAAAAAGGGAGGTAGTTAGAAAGATTGAGCTTTCAATGGAAATTGGTCTTGTGACCTTTGATATGGATTTCTTTGTTATGGATATTTCTCCTGCTTTTAATATGCTTATTGGAAGGCCTTGGATACATGTTGCTGAAGTAGTACCATCCACTTTGCATCAAAAAATCAAATACATTGTCAATGGTGTCCTTGTTATTGTGAATGGTGAAGAGCATGTCATTCGGCAGGCTACAACCATCCCTTACTTGGGAGTTGATTCTGGAACTTATGAACCCTCTTATCACTTGATGGAGTGTGCTGCTACTTCTTGTATTCATCCAAAATTCAGAGGATGAAAGGTTGAAATGTCCAAACCTACTAAAGTTGCTGCTAGGGTCATGCTTTCATGTTAGTATTAGTTGGGAAAGGGTTTGGGATTGAATGGACAAAGAATTCTTGAGCTTATTAAGGCAATTCAAGCTTACGGTACTTTTGATTTGGGATACAAGCCGAAGAAAGAAGATTGGCAAAGGATGTGTGCTATTAAGGCAAAGAAACGCCTTGCTATAATTCAAGGGAGTGATCTAAGAGATGAACCAATGTAGGTGCCACACGTTAGAGCCACATTCCCATGACCTGCTGAGATTTTGTGCCCTTCTCTTAATGGCTATGTGGTGAAGCATGTAAATATTTTGTATATAGACCCAAAAGGTATTGTTTTCTTCGCTAGATTGCTTGAAGTGAGGGAAATGTTCAAAGAAAGTATAATTTGAAGAAGTGATTGTGGATGATATTACTAATGAGCTCTGTTCTGATGATGGAGAAGACTGTTTGGGCTTTAACAATCTCTTTGGGTCGGCCAACATGATAGATCCTAAGGAAAGGTGGAGGAGGATACTAGCTGAAAGGGCATTTATGAAGAAGCACCCTAACTTCCATCTTGTTCATCATGTAAAAGCTCCAATGGGGTCACATGAGTCTATGCCTCTTGAATCAGTAAAAGAAGAGTCACTATGTGACTCATGGGGAAATTTGACTATAAATGCTCTAGATGAGGAAGAATTGGAATTTGATAGGGGAATTTCACTAGTTAATGGAAGCTCTCAGGCTAATTGGACGATGAAACTTCTCCCTATAGCTTTCATCTCTAAGTAAGAAGAGTTAGCCTTTTAGTAGTTCTGCTTATGACTATGTGAAAGAAGGGATTTAGCAAGCACCTTTATATTTTTTGAAATTTATGTTATCATGCTCTTAGTATTCCCATGCTTTCCTTTTAAATAAAACATGTTGCAATCCTACCTATCATTGTAAAAATCACCATGATACAACTTTACTTAAATCTTCATTATACAAACCACTCTTTAATGATATATTTCATGAGGTTATTCAGTAACATGTTCTTATCTTTGCTTTATTATTATTTAGTCATTAATTTACTTTCATCCAAATTTTCAAGCCTACTAATGATGAATCTTTAAACAATGACACCATATTAGAATTTATATTTGAGATTGATAATCAGACCTATAATGAAAAAAAACAATGAAAATTTGATCTTTCTCATGAACTAACTCAAATGCTAAGAAAGGAAAAACCAAAGCTGCAACCAAATCAAGAGACAGAAACCATTAATCTAGG